TGTCTCTGTTAAAATTGTGTGTAGTAACAATGGCACCGAATTTAAGTGTCTGCTACCACGTTTTGCTACGTGTGGGATCATGTTTCAGACTTGTTGTGTCTACACCACAACAAAACGGGCAGGTGGAACACAAGCACCGCCATATTCTCAATGTTGCTCATGCCTTGATGTTTCAGGCTCATATGCCTGTGCGCTTTTGTGGAGAATGTGTACTTACAACTGTCTATCTCATTAATCACACTCCTTCTAATCTTCTAGGAGGTAGAAGTCCTTATGAATTACTTACACGGGCCTAGTTGACATTTTCTCACATGCGTATATTTGGTTGTCTTTGTTTCGCCCACAACACATATTCTCGAGGGGATAAATTTTCTCCTCGCAATCGTCGATGTATTTTTTTTGGCTGCCCACATGGTCAGAAGGGGTGGAAATTATATGACTGGAACTCTGGGGATATTTTTGTGTCCCGGGATGTGCAATTTTGTGAATACGAGTTTCCTTTTTTAATGTCCTCTCCGTCTTCTAATATCACCAGTGATATGGCATTGACCGGAGGTACAACTCCGATTTTTTATGATTTGCCTGCACTTGCGGTCTCTTCCTCCCCACCGCCACCCGACGGACCCACTCCACCAATTGCGCAAGAACATAACACTGACGCCAATACAGAGGTACACTTGGGCCGCGGTCAATGAACTAAACGGACGTTTGTTCTACTCCGAGACTTTGTTACACATCATGTTAAGACTCCGAGCCCATCTCTCCTACCACCTACTTCCGTCATCTCCTCAGGTACTCCTTATCCTAGAGCACATTTTAATCATTGCGACAAGTATTCTACCGGTATGCGCTTTTCTTGGAGCTATTCTTGCAGGTGAAGAACCACGCTCTTTTAGCAATGTTATGGCTGACGCGGAATGGTGTAAAGCCATGCAGTGTGACATCCAGGCCCTAGAAAATATTCATACTTGGACTATGCAATCATTACCTCCTGGTAAGAAGGCGCTTGGTTGTAAATGGGTATATAAGATCAAATATCATTCTAACGGCACAGTGGAGCGTTACAAAGCCCGACTTGTGGTGTTTGGGAATCATCAAAAGGAAGGCATTGATTACATAGAAACGTTTGCTCCTGTCATCAAGATGGTGAATTGGTGACAGTTCGTGCTATATTGGCTGTTGGAGCAGCTAAGAACTGGGAATTGCATCAGATGGACGTGCATAACGCTTTTCAGCATGGTGACTTGGATGAGGAAGTTTACATGAAACCCCCTCCTGGTTTTTACTCATCACGTCTTGGAATTATGTGTTGGCTGAAAAAGTCGTTGAATGGTTTGCGCCAAGCGCCACGTTGTTGGTTCTCTAAACTAGCATCTTCCTTACGACAGTATGGATTTCTCCAGTCCTACTCTGATTATTCTCTATATTCTCTACATCGGGTTAACACTCGTCTTCACGTTCTTATTTACGTGGATGACCTAATTATTGCGGGCAATGACCCGGTTGCCTTGTCCGAGTTCAAGTCGTATTTACATTCGTGTTTTCACATGAAGGACCTAGGTGTCCTCAAATATACTCTTATCCCAACGTAAGTATGCGTTAGATATTATCTCTGAGACAGGTCTTCTTGAGGCCAAACCCGCAGCATCCCCTAAGGAAGAAAACCACAAATTGGCTCTTGCTACGGGTGATCTTATATCTGATATAGAGACTCATCGTCGACTCGTTAGGCATCTCATTTATCTCTCCTTCATTCGTCCTGACTTGCATACGTTGTTCATATTTTTTTCTCAGTCTATGCAGGCACCTAGACGTGAACATTGGGATGCAGCGTTACGGGTTGTGCTCTATCTAAAAGAAACTTCTGGCCAAGGAATTCTCCTTTCTTCCACGCGTGATCTTACTCTCACTAGCTGGTGTGATTCTGATTGGGCTAGCTGTCCGCTCACTCGTCACTCTCTTACTGGATGGATGATATTTCTAGGAGGGGGTCTCCTATCTCGTGGAAAACTAAGAAACAACACACTATCTCTTGATCTTCTACTGAGGCTGAATACCGTTCTATGGCCGATGTGACTGCCGAATTAAAATGGATTAAAGGTCTTCTTCTTACTCTCGGGGTCTCACACTCACAGCCCATATCCTTGTTTTGTGACAGTGGCTCCACTCTGCATATTGCTCAGAATCCCGTTTTCCATGAACGTATGAAACACATAGAAGTTGATTGTCATTACGTTCGTGACACTATCCAAGCTGGATTCCTCACTACTCGACACGTGTCTAGTGTCTACTGCTGATCAGCTCGCAGACATCTTCACCAAGGCTCTGAGGTCACGCCAATTCTTATTTCTTCTGAGCAAGTTGGGCATTTGTACTCTCCATGCTCCAACTTGGGGGGGTGTTAGACACATTTGGTTTGTATAGGCCGTAGCATTACCAATGTATAGATAGATCCGTTTTACAGGAGACGGGCCAAGGGCTTTCTTATAAACAATACCTTGTATAAATACCCATTAATTGATTGTTAATACACAAGCTTTTAATTCCAAGTATTCTTTGAACATGCTTCGTCGTTCTAGCATGTCTCTTCCATTCTCTACGCAGCCCAAAAACAAGACGGACAGAAATCACTGACCAAACGAAACTGACTGTGACACCAAAGTAACTCTCCAAATCGAGGGAGACCAAAAACATGGAGCGTCAATATTGGAAAAGAGCCGTCATAGAATAGAACAAACACAATACTAAAAGAATAGTCTCATCTACCGATAGATAGGGTTCTCACACCATATCACAGCTCTTGTTTTTTTTTTTACTTTTTTGCACATTAAAGTTGCACATTTCCAAAAAAAAAATGAATATTTTGAGTTTTGATGAAAATCCATCTAAAGTTCTAAACTGTCTGTTGCCTTTTGTGCGTACAAATGTAGTGTAATAATGTACGTCGGATCTGCGCAAGTGAAGGCTGGAGATAATGATCGAAAAAGGCACATGAGTATCATTTCTGTTTGCTCAAATCCCAATGATAATTCCATCTAAAGGCCGATTTCCTCATTCTGAGATATTCATCGTGTTTGTCTAAAAACATCACTCCCTGATCCGTATATACGCCCAAAAGCATATAAGGTACTGCGTATTCATTCATACACTTTGAGTGTCCTTGCAATTGTTAAAAAAAATTGTTAGTCTGAATAATAGAATTGATTATATGACAGTCGATTATTCAAAGCATACTGTTAACTGTTATGTGATGTAAGACTTATTAATTTTGTTTGGATTTGGACTAATAGGAATTAGCTTTTACTAAATTTCTCCTCCCCGGCCAAATTGATTTGAAATTCAAGATTTTTAATTTTAGGAATAATAAAAATTGATATTTAAAGTGAGTAAAATTTTAATAACTAAAACCAATTTAATAAATTGAAATTTATAATAAAGTGAGTACCCTACGGATTTATATTGGAAACTGAAGTCGAATGCTTGCACTCCTACAAAACTCATACGTACGGATACCTTGTGACGACTTCTTCCTCTTCTCCGTTCAGACAGCACGAAGAAGAAAAAGACAGACGGAAAAAGAAAGCTAAACGATTGAATTATGCCTAAGGCGACTTTCAAAGTCAAATTATATACGGAGTAAGATAAAGATAGTTTTCCATTCATCTAGATAGATCCGTTTCATATAGGGCTGGGTCCGAAAAACCGAAAACAGAAAACCGAATCAAATTCAACCGAATCGTGACCAAATTAAAACGAACCGCTAAAAAACCGAAACCGAATGTAAAAACGCGAACCGAACCGTAGTAGTTTTGTTCGGTTTTGGTTTTTACCCTTTAAAACCGAACTAAAATAAAATATGAAATTTTATTTGTTAAATGTAAGCATTAATTAATCTTGATATTATCAATAATCTTTGAATTTCTTGTGCTAGAGAAATAATGTTTGCGCTATGTTTAGTTTAGTTTTGTTTATAAATGCATTTACACATCCATTGCCCATAATAATGTAGCTATATTGATCTATTATGTCTTCTATGTATGTATGTTGCAATTTATTGCATGATTATATGTTCTTACTGGCTATTAGTAGTAATTAATTTTTATTTTTATGTAACCTAATTTTTTTGTAACTTAAATTTTTTATATTGATAAAACAAATAAATTTTTTGTAACCTATCTCAGCTGTATCACACAGGACGTATGTATTCATAAACTTTTTTTCAAACTAGTCACAAATAATGTAAATTAAGAGATATATATACAAACTTTTATTCCTACCGCATACTCATATAATTCAAGACATATTTGTTTATTATTATTTTCTTTATTTGTTCAAGTATGCTTGCATTTTTATGTAATATGTTTGATCCCTCCAACTTATATATCAATTTTAAATCAAATGACATTTTTTTAGTAAAAACCGAAAATACCGAAACCAAACCGAAACAAACCGAACCAATCAAATCGTGGTTCCAAGTTTTGGAGTGTAAAACCAAACCGAAATTGAACCGAACTTTTACTTTGGTTCCGTATTTAGTTTTAGGTCAAAACCGAACCGAAAGAACCGAACTCACCCCTAGTTTCATAGGAGATGGGCCAAGGGCTTTCTTTTAAACAATACTCCCTCCGTCCCAATTTGATGATCCCATTTCTTTTGGGCTCAAAGATTAAGGAAGTGGTTGAAAAGGTAAAAGTTGTGGTTAAGATTTGAATAGAAAAAGGTGAAATGATGTGGACCACATATTTCATTCCAAAAATTGAAATGAGACTATCAATTTAGGACGGCCCAGAAAGGAAATACGGGATCATCAAATAGAGACGGAGGGAGTACCTTGTATAAATACCCATTGATTAATTGTTAATACACAGGCTTTTAATCCCAATTATTCTTTAAACATGCTTCGTTGTTCTAGCATGTCTCTTTTATTGTGTACGCGGTCCAAAACAAGACGGACAGAAATCACTGACCAAACGAAACTGACTGTAACACCAAAGTAACTCTCCACATCGAGGGAGACCAAAAACATGGAGCGTCACTATTGGTCTATTGGAAAAGAGTTGTCATATAACATAATAAACACAACAATAAAAGAATAGTCAAGTTGGCTCATCTACCGATAGCTAGGCTTCTCACACCAAATCACAGCTCTTGTTTTGTTTTTTACGGAGTACTTTTTTGCACATTAAAGTTGCACATTTCCAAAAAACATGAATATTTTGAGTTTTGATGAAAATCCATCTAAACTGTCTGTAGCCTTTTGTGCGTACAAATGTAGTGTAATAATGTACTTCGCATCTGCGCAAGTGAAGGCTGGAGATAATGATCGAAAAAGGCACATGAGTATCATTTCTGTTTGCTCAAATCCCAATGATAATTCCATCTAAAGGCCGATTTCCTCATTCTGAGATATTCATCGTGTTTGTCTAAAAACATCACTCCCTGATCCGTATATACGCCCAAAAGCATATAAGGTACTGCGTATTCATTCATACACTTTGAGTGTCCTTGCAATTGTTAAAAAAAATTGTTAGTCTGAATAATAGAATTGATTATATGACAGTCGATTATTCAAAGCATACTGTTAACTGTTATGTGATGTAAGACTTATTAATTTTGTTTGGATTTGGACTAATAGGAATTAGCTTTTACTAAATTTCTCCTCCCCGGCCAAATTGATTTGAAATTCAAGATTTTTAATTTTAGGAATAATAAAAATTGATATTTAAAGTGAGTAAAATTTTAATAACTAAAATCAATTTAATAAATTGAAATTTATAATAAAGTGAGTACCCTACGGATTTATATTGGAAACTGAAGTCGAATGCTTGCACTCCTACAAAACTCATACGTACGGATACCTTGTGACGACTTCTTCCTCTTCTCCGTTCAGACAGCACGAAGAAGAAAAAGACAGACGGAAAAAGAAAGCTAAACGATTGAATTATGCCTAAGGCGACTTTCAAAGTCAAATTATATACGGAGTAAGATAAAGATAGTCAAACGATTGAATTATAGCTTTCTTTTAAACAATACCTTGTATAAATACTCATTGATTAATTGTTAATACACAAGCTTTTAATCCCAATTATTCTTTAAACATGCTTCGCTGTTCCAGCATGTCTCTTTTATTGTGTACGCGGTCCAAAACAAGACGGACAGAAATCACTGACCAAACAAAACTGACTGTGACACCAAAGTAACTCTCCACATCGAGGGAGACCAAAAACATGGAGCGTCACTATTGGAAAAGAGCTGTCATTGAACAGAATAAACACAACAATAAAAGAATAGTCAAGTTGGCTCATCTACCGATAGCTAGGCTTCTCACACCAAATCACAGCTCTTGTTTTTTTTTTTTTACTTTTTTGCCCATTTAAGTTGCACATTTCCAAAAAAAAAATGAATATTTTGAGTTTTGATGAAAATCCATCTAAATTGTCTGTAGGCTTTTGTGCGTACAAATGTAGTGTAATAATGTACTTCGGATCTGCGCAAGTGAAGGCTGGAGATAATGATCGAAAAAGGCACATGAGTATCATTTCTGTTTGCTCAAATCCCAATGATAATTCCATCTAAAGGCCGATTTCCTCATTCTGAGATATCCATCGTGTTTGTCTAAAAACAACAGTCCCTGATCCGTATATACGCACAAAAGCATATAACTATATAAGGTATTGCCTATTCATTTATACACTTTGAGTGTCCCAATTGTGAAACAGATTCGTTAGTCTGAATAATAGAATTGATTATGGGGTGTTTAGATCTGATTCTCAAAACTGATTCTGCTCCTTCAGGAAGCAAGAGCAGAAGCTGGAGTGTTTGGGTGAAATTCCAGAAGCACTTCTGGAGCTCTAATTTACTCTCAGAATCAGATTTTTTAGAAGCTGGGAGGTACCGGCTTCTGAAAACTGATTCTGATTCTGCTTCTGCCTTTAAAAAAGAAGCAGCAGAATCAGTTCCAAACACCCCTATATGACACTCGATTATTCAAAAGCATATTGTTAACTGTTATGTGATGTAAGACTTATTAATTTTGTTTAGATTTGGACTAAAAGGAATTAGCTTTTACTAAATTAATCCTCCCCGGCCAAATTTATTTGAAATTCAAGATTTTTAATTTTAGGAATAATAAAAATTGATATTTAGGATGTTTTCTTCTGGACTGTTTTCAGTCCCAGACCAGATCAGATCAGACTAGACCAGACTTGACTTCCGTAGTTATAAAATACACAGAGACCAGACGTTAACCAGACTAGATCAGACCAGACCAGACCAGACCAGCAAATTTCAATCCAAAAGAAAAAATCCTTAAAGTGAGTAAAATTTTAATAACTAAAACCAATTTAATAAATTGAAATTTATAATAAAGTCAGATCTCCCCAATACATAAATAAATCAATTTTAATAACTAAAATTTTAAGTCATAAACTCCAAAATTAAAAATAATAAAAATTGATATTTAAAGTGAGTAAATATGATCAAACTGTGTTGACAAAAAAGACTTCATTCATTTTAGGATGAAAACAACAACAACAATATTCAAGTCTTTATCTCAGCTAACATGAATTGACATGAAAAATTAGACATGGTGACATACTAACAAAGTTTGGCTCGGCTATGGTATCACTCTTATCAAATATTACTTCCTTCTCATTTGACTTACTTTACTTTTTTAGATTGTTCCAAAATAAATGTCATATTTCATTTTCTAAAATAAATATGTGGTCACTACAACATGTCATTTTATCATATTCAAATCTTATCCATCCATAACTTTTAATTTTCGAACCACTTTATTAATAATTGTGTCAAATCAAAGTAGGACACATAAAATGAAATTTTATGTGTTTGATCTGTTTAGGTTTGATCTAGTATATAATTGGTTTCTGTAGGATTTATAATTGTAGCAGATATAATGTACTCCGTGTTTGTTTATGTTTGGTTTAATATGATTTATTATGTCTAATTTGGGACTAAAACAAAGTTGGAGTAAAAACATCTTAAGAAAAATGCATTATAAAATGATTTAAATATTTTTAGCAGCTGTAGTGTAATAATGTTCAAATTTTAAGGCAAAATCACTACAAAATTGTACTCATAATCACCTTTTCACATATTTACCCGCAGAGTGAAAACGACCTTGTTAGGTTTTAGTGGTTTGAATCGGCGTCGTTGTTCCACAGCCGCCTAATATAATGTTCGTACCTGAATCAAATATGAGGAAATGATATCCTCCACGACGCAGTTGAGCTAAAATCTGCTGCGGCGAATCCACCAGAACTAACCAACCAAATTTGATTCGACCGGGCCACGTTGTGCGCTTCAGTTCAGCCCAGCCGGTTTCCAAAGTGGGAGGCTGGGTGGGGCCCACCAAATTTGCTACTCCGTATGTGGCCCCCATCTTTTTCTCTCTCTAGCTGGACCGTTGGATTCTCGATCTTCCGTTAAAATGATGATGATGATGCCATTTTAGTTGTTTCCCGCAACAAATCCACAGCAGCCCCGCCCGGCCAAAAATAGGAAAAGGAACTAAAGCTGGGTGGGCCCGCTGCTTGACGTGGCGTCTTCCGATTAGCCTACAAAATCGAAATCCCTTACCAACAGCTTTCCTGTCGAGTGACCATGAATTGAACCGCCCGTATAAAATTTGGGTTGAATGGGTAGGTAGTAGGAAGGTCACGCAGATTTCGATTCGATCCCTCAAATATTATATGATCCACAAACAACATAAGCTAGGTAGATATATGTCATTACTTACCACCGTATTTTTATTTACTAGTATAGAAATACACAAACAAAAATATCCAATCTAAGGAAGCTACTAGCTAGCTAGGTTTCCATTCTTTTTTCGAGTTTATTTGGTTTTACTTATGCAGTTATGCTCCCAAATTGATCAAACCTTACTCCAAATTTTGTACGGAGTAGCATTTTTATATTTCACTGCTGCTAACCAATACATCACTATATCTCATGCGATCTATGATATGATATATAAATTCTTTTTGCATGCGTAAAAAAAGCTCTTTGTTCCTATCATCATTCGAATTTTATATATTCAAATCATGTCATCATCATCAATACCCTAGTGTCACGCTCTTACCTACAGTCAGTGTTCTAAAAGGCGTAAGGCGTGTCAAGGCGGCATAACCGAGCCTCAAGCCTTTGAAGCCTAGGCGGGCTTAGGTGGGGTTGAGGCGTGAAAAGGCGTTCTGGTTTTTTATCATTCGAGTTAATATTCCCGGTCTCCTAGAGCAATTTTCAAATATATAAATTTAATATTAAGTAGTATCATACATTAATATCATACTTTTCTAATTTTCAACACCCATAGATTTTGTAGACTTTAAAATATGACAAGTATAGATTTATCTATTACACAAATATTAGAATTGCGATAAGTAATTGAAAGATAAAATAATAACAATAAAAGTAATATAATGGTGAAGGTGATGGAACAACTACTAGTGATAATAATATAATACCGGCCACCTTCGTCCCACTAATATCGGAACATGAAGATCAGAGGTGATACAATCATTAAGAAAAGTGTGTTTATGTGATTGATATTGAAATAGTAAAGTAAGAATAATTAGAAATCACACAAACATGATCAAAGTTGGTATGAGAGCTTGAGACAATTGTAGTGAAACGAATCGAAAAGGAAAGATGTGGCAATCTTAATTAGCATGATGAAGGGAGTAACAAACTAACAACTAATATAAATACCAATAAAAATTTTGTAATATAACAATAATAATGAACTAATGGTAGTTAATTATCAATGTTTATAAATAGGATAATTATATAGACCTATTCGGTACAATTCATAAAAAATACGAGTATGAAACATCACTGTTAAACATTTTCACGTTTGTGCTTAGGCACTTTAGCTTGAGTTGCTTCTTATTGAAATTAGTTTGATTAGTTTTACGCTTTTGTTTTGTATTTCAGCCTTTTCGCATGTTTTTCCCACACCGGAAGTTTACAAACAAACCAACCTTCTAATTTGCTATAAATATGGGTGATTGCTATTTGAATGTAGAGCACTGATGTGTAGAAAGCTCGGTGTCTAACCTAGGATGAACAAAAAATGGGCTGTACTTGCAATGGGCCGCCTTTGTTCACGCATTAGTGGGAGGCGGGGCGGTTCTGTCCCGCATTGCGCCTTAGCGGCGCTTTTCCCCGCGTTTTAGAACACTGCACACAGTGGGGCAAGGAGGCGTTACATGTACACGGCCTTACGATGTACTATAGCACAGAGAGAATTTCCTTATATGGGGCAGTTTATTTGTAGTGACATGTCTAGTACTATGAATTATATACTTCTTTCGTTCTTATATAAGTAGAATTTCCTTATATGGGGCAGTTTATTTGTAGTGACATGTCTAGTACTATGAATTATATACTTCTTTCGTTCTTATATAAGTGTACCAGTCTAATGAATATCTTTGAAAAAAAGTGAGTGGGGGTAAGTCAACGTAATGCCCGAATAACGTATAAGTGCCTAATCAAATTAACCAATTAACCTATCTTCTAATATGCATATGTGAGTGGGCATTTAACACTAAGATACTCGATCAAGATAAAATCACATTGCCTTATTAAAATCTTTACATTCATACAAAAAAAACGAACACAAATAAGTGTGTGAACCGTTAAAATTTGAGTAATAAAGTGAACTTTTCAGGTGATTATTAATTGATTTAATTCTATCAAAAATCTGTGACGGGGGGATTGTTTTTATTTACTGGAGTACTTAAATAGGATTATAAGTTTCATTAGCCCACACTACAAATAAACTGCCCCATACTAACTGTAAAAAAAAACTACGGCTCATTTGGTCCTAAATAATTCTGTTCTATCGTAATTCGTAAATAAAAAATTTCCTTTGCCGTAAATATTTGTCTTCTTTGGGAGTCGAAATTTCGAAATAGGAAAAAAAATGAAAGAAAATCCAGTTCTCATACAAATTCATACAATCATACTGAAATCAAACCGAAAGAAGTGTTTTCCTGCAATAGAGTTCATAATCAACAAACATCGAAATGACAACAATAATGATCCAAAGTACATATCCAAGTCTTAGTCCCAAAGGATATTGGGGTAGACTAACATGAATCAATACATCATACATGATACCGCCATCAAAAAGAAAAGGAAGAAAAAAGAAAAAAGAAAAAAAAAAAGATAAGAAAGATAAGTTATTGTAAAAAAGATAATATAAAAAGAAATGAAATACGTACTTGCAAACATAGACTCAATTTAGCATTGTTCCTAATTAAATAAAATACTAATAGCCTTCAAAAACACCACCGGTTATAATACTTGTACATCGTCAATCCAACCGAAGAAAATAGGAATATGTATACTTGCAGTCTTCCGGTTCAAAAAAGTAATGAAGAATGACAATGTTCTAATAAGTATTTATTTATTACGGAGTACAAAAGATGCTTTACTCAGTAATTACAAAAAAAATTGAAAACAGGAGATAACACATTCATAATGTAATCATAGATGATCAGATACAAAAATCTGATTGTGCAAAATTAATACGGAGTAATAATGTGTAGATGCAATTTGTGGAATTATTACGGATGCAATTTGTGGAATTCGATATTGCAGAGTAAATATGGAGTATCACTTTACTTTACAAAATCTAATCTAACAACATTATGATTGAACAAAGGTTGGTAATTTATGTTAACACTATATGCATATAATATTGTACATTATTATTCTTAAAATTGTACATTTACTTTTCCTCTTCCTTGTCTACCCTTACCCACCGTTAACTATTTGTTTTCTGTTAAATCAAAAGGCTTTTCACAACTCTTCAAATCGGACCACTAACGATGCTTTAGGTTGATGAAATTGAAATCATTATGTGAACATCATCAAAATTATTAACAAAGAGTCAAAGACCCTTCAAGTCTAATTTTGACCAGCAATGTATCCTAGTCATGCCTACTCCCCTGCTCCCGATGATTAGTGCAAGAAGTTCATTTCCTTGAGGTGTATCAAAAGTTGGTTGAAGCAGTGCCGATCCTACATAAACTCAGGCCTGAGTCGAACTTTCATAAAAGGGCCCTATACATAGTATTTGTTTTGTAATACTCCGTACAACATATTTAGAAGTAGAGGATAAATATCACAAAAACTCAATACTTAAATAAAATTCTTACGTTATAACATAAAAAAATCACAATTTTGATTAATTTTGGATTGAAAATCACACAATTTTTTCATGATAATCTTAAATAAAAAATAGATCTAAATTCTCAAATAAAAAATTTCACTTGCAAGGCACGATCCAGCTTGACTACTTTGTAAAACAAGAATCAACATACTTTTAATTTTTAAATAACATTTGTTTATGCAGATTGCAGATACTTCAAATCCCAAACAATAATATAATATTTAGTCAATAGTTATAGCAAATAGAAAATAGAAGTTAATAAGTTAGTTCATTGGGTATTCACAAATCAATAGTTCTCAAATTAGCAAATCATTCTAAAGCTAGATTTTTGGAAATAATAACATATCGACAAATTTGGGACTTCATATTTGTACTTCACTACCTGGTTCATAACTCTATTGTCCCGCATATTTTGTTACTTCTGTATCGGATGATTTAAACTACACAACAATGTAGCTTTTGTTTTTTTAATACATATTTATAGTATAAATATAATATAAATGTATTTAAATTTTTGGGCCCCTAATTTTTTAATTTTTTGGGGGCCCTGAGGCACAAGCCTCACTGGCCTAAGGGAAGGACCGGCCCTGGGTTGAAGCAAAATGGAAAGCCCGTGCATTTTTATATACTTATATTGTATCGTTTTTTGTCTAAAAATGTAATAAAGTTAAATAAAGAATGACTTTTTAATTCATTTTTATTTTGGGATGTTTGTGGCCTGGTGCTAAAAAATCTGATCAAGTAATGTAATGTTACCATTCAAGTGGCAATGCAATTTACTTATCTTTTGGTGGATTACCTAAAACTCCACTACTCCTGTTAAATAATTCTTTTCAAATTTAAGATATCATTATATCAATTGTGGTGTCCTGGCCGAATGTTTTTTGGAGCTTCAAATTTAAAAAAAAAAAAAAAACTAGATACATGAGGGGTGTAAAAAAAATCTAAGTAAGAAAAAACTCAAAAACTTATGTTGATTATCTTTATACCAATGCAACGAGATGTATAATAATTTTAATGCGAGTCTTTATATATGAGGGGTGTAAATTATTACTGGGGTAAAGAGTGAAATTATGTCCTTTACATTGTCAGCCCGTTTGGTAACATTGAAATCGGTTGAATCAGCTGATCCTACTGAAATTTATGAAGTTCTGGCTTAAGTGACTGTATTGGCTGATTCTGCTGATTTATGAACAAATAAATTTAAAATAT